CCCCTCGCGTTCCTCTCACAAACCCCCTCACAGACCCCTTGCGTCGCCCTCACAGCCCCCCTTGCGTCCCTCTCACAAACCCCCTCACAGACCCCTTGCGTCGCCCTTCTCCCGGCAGACCGGTACCGCTCCCTGCCCTCCCCGCGGGCCCGGCTCAGTTTCCTGGCCCTGCAGAAGGAGCTGGTGGACGACTTCCGGATCCGGCTGACCCAGGTGATGAAGGAGGAGAGCCGCTGCCCGCTGGGGCCCCGCTACTGCGCCATTCTCAACGCCACCAACTACGTGAGCGCCGTGCTGGCCGACTGGGCGGACAACGTGGTGAGACCGGCGCGCTGCCCCGCCGCTGAGGGTCACTCGCCGCGCGTGGCTGTGGGACAGAGCAGGGAGGCTTAGGACAGGCTTGCACGCGATCTGCTGCTCAGTCACAGAGCTGTCCAGCCATTTTCTAAACGCCTCCTCCAAGGACAGGGCCTATCCCAGCATGCAGTGGGCCCAGGGCAGGATACACCCTGGATGGGACGCCAGTCCCTCACAGGACACACAGACTCAGACACACACACTCACTCCAGGGCCAGTTTTGACAGCAGCCAGTTAACCTGACAGCATGTCTTTGCACTGTGGGAGGAAACCAGAGCACACTGGGAGAACATACAAACTCCACACAGACAGCACCCCAAGTCGGGAATCGAACCCGGGGCCTGATCACCGCAGGGCAGCAGTGCTGAGCACTGCGCCACCAGCCCGCCCAGTGTGACCCGGGTTTGCTGGGAGGGCTCGCCTGGCCTGACCCACCCTGCAGCAGCGCTGCTCTGTCCCTCAGTTCTTCCTCCAGCTCCAGCAGGCGGCCGTGGACATGGGGGAGGAGGTGCTGGGGAACCTGGGGGTCACGGAGACGGGGCGGCTGGCGTCCCTGGAGGGCTCGGTGTTCGAGGGGCTGCTGGGCCTGCTGGACCGGCTGCGCGGGGACATGCTGGGCCGCCTGCTGGACGCCGTCCTGAGAGACGTCAAGGACAAGGCCCAGCCCTACTGCCGCGAGAAGTGAGTGCTGGCGGGCGGAGACGAGACCCGCCGCCGCCGCCAAAAAAAAACAAAAACAGAGATAAAACAGGCTCTGTCTCCTGTTCGAGACAGATAGACTCAGCTGGTAGCTGATTGATCTGACTGTCTCCTCCAGCTGTTTGATTGAGGGACCCGGTCACATGGCTGGGCGGCTTGTTCCACCCTCCCACCGCCCTTTAGGTAAAGAAGTGCCTCTGCTATGGAATAAACTGCAGGCTGACTCTGTCAGTGCCTTTGAGGATTGTGGGGACTTGTATGGGATCCTCTCGTAGTCTTTGCTGTTTAAGAATACAAAGTTTCAGTTCCACCAGGTTGTCAGTGTACGACGTTCCTCTAAGCCAGGGGTGGGGAACCTTTTTTCTGCCAAGGGCCATTTGGCTGTTTATAACATCATTCGCCGGCCATACAAAATTATCAATTTAAAAATTAGCCTGCTATATTTGGTTTAAACATTTAATGAACTCACCCCTAATGTGATGGCTGGAACTGGGCTGGGCGTGTGATGTTAGCTGGTATTGATGATGTTGCTGCTCGCAACTGCTTTTCCAGGTGTGCGTCGGACAGTCTGGAGCCCAGTCGGTCAAACAGCCACTTACTATCATTGAGTGCCCTGACAGGTTTTCCCTTCACCTCCACAAACAGCTTGACTTCATCCCGCAGTTTGTAAAACACAGTGTGTTAACACTTTCGTAACGTGTACACTCCCAGCCTGCCTGGCACTGACTGTCCTCTGAGTCACAGCGATACAGGCAGGCGGGCCGCGGGCAGCCAGCGAGAAGCATGCGTGTCTGTCCCATCATGGACGTTCCTTGCTTGTCCCTCAAAATTAACATTATTATTATGATTCACTTAATATAAATTTATGTTGCTATGAAAAAAGCTCCTAGATTTATTGAATTTCAAGTCCCGCCTGCGTAGGGCTGGGCGATATGGCCAAAAACATGATCACGATATAAAATTCATATCAGTCGATATCGATAATTATCATGATAAATGTCAAATCACTATTTCTTTCAAGTTTAAAGGCAGATTTTTGTCTCCTGAGTGAAAGTTGAAGAAACCAGACAGTTAATTGGGGAATTAAACAACTCTTTATTTTAAGAACACAACACTTGCCAAACGGCAGAAACATTAAACAAATCTGTTAGCAGCCCGGTCTGCAACACGCACGCGCACACTCGCGCAGTATTTAGTGCGCATGCGCGTATCGTGCGTAAAGCATGAATGCTTATCAAACTTTTGTTAAAATTATATTGAGGAAAATTATATTGCGATAATTATCGTTATCGAATTATCGCCAGGCTCTACACCTGCGGTTGCCTTGGCAGGGCCGGACCCAATGATTTCCGGACGTTCCCCACCCCTACTCTAAGCCCTAGAACATTTCTACTGTATACTGTATCAAAATATAAATTGTAACGTATCGTCAAAAATCACTGCAAAGAGCACGTTTTGGAAACGATGAATGGAATTGGCGAAGAGTGGACAAGGTCTTCCTTCAGTCTTGAGGAAGCACCCCGGCCCGTTGAAGCCGGTGAATTGGTGGCACTACAGGAGGTACGTCTTGCCAGGGGGAGTCTGGGTGTCCCAGCTGCTTGAGGGAAGGATGGGATAGGGCTGACCTTCGACCCCGGACGCCCCGGACGACAGTCTTCTCAGGCTGCACAGACAGACCTGCTGAAACGTGTGAATGTACATCATTGGGCAGATCGGGAAGAGCAATCTTTTGCAGCCAGCCAGACCTTGACAGAACGGGCAGGGATGCGCCAAAGAGCTCCGGGCCAAACCCAGCCTCTTCATCAGGTTCTGTCCATTTTTATTTGGGGGGGAAATTGGAATATGGGGTTGACTGCCCCTGGCTTTCTGGATACCGAGCTTGAGGGGAGAGAAGAACCCGCCATCAGCTGAGAAACCTACAGAAATGGCCGAGGCTGGGGAATTCATTAGCTACTAGCAAGCTAATGAGTGTGAGATGTGCTACGGCTACAGCTTCCCATCCAGTCTGAGCCGTGTCCCTGGGGCTCTGTGAGTGTTGACGCGCGGCCGTCTGTCTGCAGGTGGCTGTCCCTACCCTCCCAGGCGGACCAGGCCACCATGTCTCTGTCCAGCTCCGCGTGTCCCATGATGCTGTGCCTGCGCGACCGGCTGCTCCAGCTGCAGCAGCTGCTGTGCGTGCCGCTGTTCCAGAGCTGCTGGCAGGGGCTGGCGGAGCGGCTGGACCTCTTCATCTACCAGGAGGTGAGAGAGGGAGCGCGACGGGCCGTCGTGCGCCCGCCCCTGTCCGGGAGACCGATCGATCGCCTTCCTGCCCCTGTCCGGGTGACCGATCGATCGCCTTCCTGCCCCTGTCCGGGAGACCGATCGATCGACTTCCTGCCCCTGTCCGGGAGACCGATCGATGGCCCTCCTGCCCCTGTCCGGGAGACCGATCGATGGCCCTCCTGCCCCTGTCCGGGAGACCGATCG